CCTTCAAAGTGTTCCTAATTTTTAGTGAGCCTTAGGGCAAATCTTCGGGGTGAGAAAACCAGTTTACAAATGTTGTAAATAAATAAATCTGTCATGGGGCTTTCTCGGCAGAATTTGTTCATAGGGGTTGCCTTTGCCTTACTCTGAGGCTGAAAGAATATGAATTGCCCAAGGTCTGTAGTATTTCCCTGTCTGATTAGGGATTCGAAACCTGGTCTCCAGAATCCCTCCATGGTAATGGTTCATTCAATCCATTACACTAAGCTGCCTGTCATATTTTTCTTACTTTTCTTTTGGTCTCTGTATCAAAATGACAGTTAACTTGATAACTGAAGAGTTAGAGTCTTATGACACTTGGAAGACTATCAAAACGTAAAGACTCTTTTTGTCTTGGTGTGTTAGCAGTTAAATCACACTATGACCTTATTTTATCTCAGTTTATTGTAACAGCCTTTTACAGCCCCAGGGTGGTATTAATATCAGTGATGGGAAATGACTGGCACTGTTCTTGTTATTCTGGACTTCAGTTACCAGGATCGCTCACTGCTGCTCAAGTTGATGAAAAATGTGGTCCAAAATATCTTGAAGGGACTGACATAGGTTTCTCTCTATTCCTAGTATAGCAAACAGGGCAGGCAAGAGAAAAGAACAAGTTATTTTCCTAGTCACAATCCTTTGTCTGGTAAATGACGTTCGAAAGGACGTGCTTGAGGCATAGAAACTGAGTATCTTAAGCAACTCTTGAGAAAACAGGACATACGTAATACAAAATGATTGCAGTAAAACAACCTATTACTTTTCAGTATTACTTTCTAACGCAGCATGAACAAACACGTTTAGGGGATAAAGAATGAAAGACAAGTCTCTAGAAAACTTAATCATTTTGATCACATTTATTGCTATAGATAAAGAGATGGAGCCAAACCTAGAACACTGGTTTTCAGGAGAAGCTGAATTTGAAAAAGTTATTTTGGGGACCACAGCTCCAGAATCCCACATCTATTGGCCACACTTGCTTGGGAGTATGGAAGTTGTCATTCAAAAAGTAACATTTCAAAGCGTTGGCTGGTAATTTAATTCTCACCGTTCAGGAAAAATGTATCCTGAACACTCAGCCCCTTAGTCATGAGTGTCTATTCCTTCTCATAGGAAGTGAAGGGAGAGGAAACCCCACCTTGTAATTACTTGAAGGAACATGTGCCACCAAGGAAGATTCGCACTTCTAAAGCAACTTGTTGGGTTTTTCAGCCTTTTCCTCTTTTTTAAGTTTTACACATATCTACACTAAAATACCTTTGAATTCAAAGCTCTGGTACCTCTTTTTATAGAGCCACATGTGAAAGATAAGATTATTTCATCATAGAGGAGGGAAAACCTATTATAGCTTAAGTTATTCGCCCATGTCTGACCAACTTTTTTTTTTTTTTTGCTGAAAGATGACTTGTTTATTCCATGCTTTGTGCATTTGATCCATAAACTTCTGGAAATACTAATCCATATGGGTATGTGTTTTGAATGATGTGGTGTCATTGTCGTTATCAAATAATGAATACCAACAGTGATTATGAATAACAACATTGGGTTTTTCTTTGTTATCTTCTCTCCTCCTTCTCCCCCTGCCCTTCTCCCCAAAATAGGGGAATCTTATGTCATGTCCATTTTTTCTGAGTTGCAAAGGTTAGTAGAGGAGTTTGAGGGGAAATGGCAAACATCCTATCTTGAGCACATGGAGGATAGTGGTCTGCCTTACACTTTGGTGTCCTTCAATCACTGCATGCACACACACACACACAAACTCAATACACCACTTGTCAAGCTGTGGAAGGGACTCAGATTGTGCTTACATATTGGTATGGGAGGTCTGAAGAACAGCTGGTCTGAGTTCAACAGGGGAAGAAATAACAGTGTGCTCACAGATGATGTGCACCCTTCTTTTCCTCTCCCAGGGGTCCTGGGAAGATTCATTGTCTGAATTATTTTCTTTTATCCCCCTTTCCACTAATAATCCAGTTTCCCCTAAAATAAGACATACTCATAAAATAAGCCATAGCAGGATTTCTAAGCATTTGCGCAATATAAGCTATACATAGTGATAGGCATGGCTACGCAGCGTACTAGGGCAGCTTCCCCGTCAGGTCCCGGTCATTCTGTGCATGCTGCAAGCTGAGATACAGAGGGAGACATAGAAAGTGAAAATAAAAGTCTCAGTGAAGTGAGGAGCTTTATGTATTGTGTGTCCTCAGGGGGAAGAAGTAAAGATGTGGCTGCCATTTCAGTATTGTGCGTTTCTCTCCCCCAGCACCAAGCAGCAACACTCTGTGGTCTCTCTCACCCCCCATAAACACCAGTAAAACTGCTCCTCCCCAGCACTGACCAGCAACAGTCTGTGGGTTTCTCTCACCCCACCCAATCACCAGGGGATAGGGGGGAAAGCTTCAACAAGCAGTCTGCTACTGAACCCAGAAAGATCATCCCATAAATGCAGATTGCTGTACCTTACTTAATAAAAATAAAACATCCCCTGAAAATAAGCCACAATTGTCTTCTTGAGGAAGCATATAAGACAGTGACTTATTTTGGGGAAAACATGGTAAGCATCAACAACATCAATCGGTTCTCCTGTGGTTTGACAGCCACTTGAAGAGGAAACCTTTCTGTGGAACATGAAGGACTAAAGGTTAATTTGCTGTGCCTTGCCCAAAAAGACACACACACACACCTACACTCACACACGTGTATGTTAGTAACAAGCTACTTCCCAATTAAGTGTTTTGACAGATTAACCAACCAGAATCTGAGTTATAGTATTGTTAATGAAAAAATGTGGAAGCTTGGGGAACTGAGACAAATGCCTGATTATACCCTGCCAAATGTCCAGGTCAATTGCATCATACAATTTTTTCAGTTGGTTTTGATATGTTTCAGTTTATTTCACCTCCAAATTTGTCCCCAGTTTATTTCCATTCTTAGAAACTGAGTTCAAAATACAGAAGTAGTTTATACTCAGTTACCCAGGACAGGGGCTGAATCTTGTTTTTCCCAGTATTTCTCACCCACACTCTCCTTGGATTCAAACCTGTGACCTGTCAGTCTTCAGTCCTGCTGGCATAGGGGTTTAACTCACTGCGCCACTGAGGGCTACTGTGCAAGTTACTGCTGAGGCGCAACAAGAGAGAAGTTGGAGAGGACTCCTCCTAGCCAAGGGAAACATTATTTCCAAACCCTTTTTATGTGTAGTGGTTGTTTAAGTAGTCAATCATGGTCTGATAATATAGAGTTTGGTGCTGTGGTTTCAGCCATCTGTCAAGGCTGCTTTGATTGAGCTTTTCCTGCATGGCAGGGGGTTGGACTAGATGGCCCATGTGGTCTCTTCCAACACTATTATTCTATGATTCAGGCATCTCTGTGTGTGTGTGTGTGTGTGTGTGTTGGAACATATCTCCCATGGATAAAGGTGGTTAGTGTATAAGACATTTTCTTTTACTGTTATCTCTGTCCAGAGGCAGACATTAGGAATGTGCAAGATAAGCAAGGACTGAGAAAAATGAGGCAACACCAGATAAAGTCAAAGCATAGAACTGCAAATAAATGATTTTGTTCCTATTCACCAATGAAAATACAAAGCCTTGGTGATTTCTGAAGGTGTCCAGTGTCATATCAACAATGATTATGTTTATACAGATAGATGTAAATGTCAATAATAGTGAACAACATACATGTACACACACACACAAAACTAATTGGAGGTCTAACGAAATGCAAAGATGACACAGCTTATGTATTAATATGCGGGCAATGCCTTTCTATATAAAGCAGGACTGGGAATTATTTAAAGCAGAATTCTTTGACTTGCTCTTTCCAGATGTTCCTTACCTCAGCTTTCATAATCACTGGCCATTGACCATGTTAGCTGGTGGCAATTGCAGTTGAAAACATCTGGAGATCACCAAGATGGGAATAATTGTTTTACGGTAAGGAAAAATGTTAGAATGAGGTGCTGAACCCTTTTCCCAACTATGCTTCAACAATACATGATGTTTACTTCCTAGCTGATTCCTTAGCTGCTCTTCAAATAGAGGGGCTTACTTTCAGCCTTGTGAACCTAGCTAGGAAAGGGATTGAGGAGGCAAAGGGTGATTCCAGACCAGTTTTGCATAAACTTTGGCCCACAGCGCTATTTCAAGTCTCTCAAGGTACCCAGAACACGTCAAAGCATATTTTAAACAAACAAATCAGGTGAATTTTTCTCTTTAAAATGCACCTGAAACTGAACAACCATCTCCAAATGTTGTGGTTTTCTCTTTTTTAAAATCTCCCCCCTCGGCTCTCTGAAAGTGGATGCAATGATAACAGATAAGCACAGTGGTGCTGTCCCAGGTGTTACATTGGGATGAAAACCTGGGCATAGTTTTCCGCTTATTACTTTGCACAGCCAGCTCCTAGCACTACTAATCAAAACAATAAGAACCTATTCTGTCTTATCAGAATTTCCTGTGAAAAGAAGAAAAGTGAAAGAAGGGTGGAAGAACATAGAAAGCTTATATATATATGAGTTGTCTGGAAATTCCTCTTCAACAAAGTTCTGCAATTGAGGCTAGGAGGCTGTATTGTCTGAAAACATCACAGAAACTTCTGACAGAAGAATAAGGTGTAGGGATTCAGAGCCCCATTCAGGAATAGGGCCCCCTAGTGCTGCAGCAGGTTAAACCAATGAGATGCTGAACTTGCTGACTGAAAGGTCGGCAGTTCAAATCCAGGGAGCGGGGTGAGCTCCTGCTGTTAGCCGCAGCTTCTTCCAACCTAGCAGTTTGAAAACATGCAAATGTGAGTAGATAGATAGGAACCGCTTCTGCAAGAAGGTAATGGCACTCCATGCAGTCATGCAGGCCGCATGACCTTGGAGGTGTCTATGGACAATGCTGGCTCTTCAGCTTAGAAATAGAGATGAGCACCACCCTCCAGAGTTGGACACGTCTAGACTTAATGTCAAAGGAAACCTTTACTATTTGGGAATAACCAACATTTTCCTATTTTATTGGACTATATTTCTCACAGTCTCTTACCAATGCTATGCTGTCTAGGACTGAGAGGAGTTGTAGGCCAAAATTATTGAAGGGCCACAGTGATCCAGACCTTGTTGACAAGGTGTGGTCTTCAATATGTTGTTTGGAACTCCACAATTAGTCTAACCATTAGTGTGTTTTACACCATATTCTGCTTTGATGCTATGCAATAGCTTTCCAGAACTCCACACACTGTGCCATGATTACCAGCTAGAAATGTTCAGGTGGAACTGAATGGGGACTTTGGACAGGACAGGCATCTGATGTACCACTAAGCTATAGCCTCTACCTCACACATAGACCATTGCTAGCAAGTGGAAATCCAAAAGGGAAGCACAATGGTGGATTCTTTAAAATATGGAGGCATCTTATCAAGCAACGTTGCTGGATTTCCATTTCTATTGAGAGTTCTCTTCAGTAAAATAAAGCATTTTGTGGGGTTTGTTTGTCCTGTTGAGTCATTTCTTCTGAGGATTGGCCACCTTCCTGAGACCTTTCAGCCGACTGAGCAGTTCTGCGACAAAGTCCTAGATTAAAATGCAGAGAAAAGGAAATTTGGACTCAGGCTGCGAATTGTGTAAGATGTGCATTTTCATCTAATATCACTTTGCTCATTCCACCTCACATCAATGATGTGATCTTATTGTCCAGTGGTTCTCAACCTGGGGATTGGGACCCCTTGGGGGGGGGGTCACCAGGGGGGTCTCAGAGGAGTTGCCAATGATAATCAGAAATACAGTATTTTCTGTTGGTCACAGGGGTTCTGTGTGGGAAGTTTGGCCCAATTCTATCGGTGGGGTTCAGAATGCTCTTTGATTGTAGGCGAAATATAAATCCCAGCAACTATAACTCCCAAATGTCAAGGTCTATTTTCCCCAAACTCCACCAGTGTTCACATTTGGGCATATTGAATATTTGTGTCAAGTTTGGTCCAGATCCATCGTTATTTGAGTCCGCAGTGCTCTCTGGATGTAGGTGAACGACAACTCCAAAACTCAAGGTCAATGTCCACCAAACCCTTTCAGTATTTTTGTCCATCATGGGAGTTCTGTGTGCCAAGTTTAGTTCAATTTCATTGTTGGTGGAGTTCAGAATGCTCTTTGATTGTAGGTTAACTATAAATCCCAGCAACCACAACTCCCAAATGACAATATCAATCCCCCCAACACCACCAGTATTCAAATTTGGGTGCATCGGGTATTTGTGCCAAATTTGGTCCAGTGAATGAAAATACATTCTGCACATCAGATATTTACATTACAATTCATAACAGTAGCGAAATTATAGTTATGAAGTAGCAATGAAAAGAGTTTTATGATTGGGAGTCACCACAACATGAGGAACTGTATTAAGGTGTCACGGAATTAGGAAGGTTGAGAACCACTGTTAAGTCCATCACAGTGTTTTTCAAATGCTGTTCTTCTGTGTGTTTTGGACTTCAGCTCCCAGCCAGTTAACCAACTATTAGGAATTGTGGGAGCTGAAGTCCAAAACCTCTGGAGAAGTCTGAGAGACAATGGTCTATCACATTCTTCTTGCATAGGCTTTGGAAGCAAATCAGTTATGAATAGGAATACATTTAGGTAAAAAAAAAAGACAAGACTGAGGTGTTCAGAACCAACAGTACCTCAGCTGACTTCCATAGTATTGGGGACTTTGAATTTGCTCCAAAATCAGAACAAACAGTAGAAAAAGCTATTAAAGGAACCAATTTTTTTTTTGGATATAGGAGCAACAATGTAAGCAGCTCTTCTAATGTTCATAGTAAAACCTAGGACCGGATTCATCACCACACTGGTATCAAAGCTGCTAGTAGCCATTAAACAGAACTGTTATACTTCTAATAGTTGTGCAAAAAAGGAAGCTTAATGGATTTGTTCTATTCTCATCCATGCTTTCATTAATTTTATTTCCAAAACCAGAACTCAAAGTGATTTACAAATTTAAACAGATGCAAAATTGTCTTTCAAGTATATAGACATTTAGGAAGCAGGAGCCCTGTACTTTATTGACTCTGCTCATCCTGCTCATCATGATAGTATTAAACTACAGCACCTTTCCTTTTTCTGAGTTACATTACAACTACCACGCTCTTGTTACACCCAGAACTGATTACTGCAATGCACTCTACATGGGGTTGCCTTTGAAGACTGCTTGGAAGCTTCAACTAGTCCAATGGTTGGCAGCCAGGTTGCTCACCGGAGTAGAATGCAGAGAGCATACAACCCCTCTGTTATGCCAGCTCCACTGGCTGCCAATCTGCTACCAAGCACAATTCAAAGTGCTGATTTTAACCTTTAACGTGTGTAACATGGAAGCTCTAGTTTCACTGTGTTGACAAAGTATTGAAAACGTATCTTCTATTTATAAACAGTCTTTAATTAATCGTGTGAATGTTCTCATGTTACATTCAATATAGAAATTCTGGGAACATAGAAATTGCGATTTAACCTTTAACGCCCTGAATGGTTCTGGGCTGGCCCATATTACCTGTCCAAATGTATCTCCCATTATGAACCATCACAAAGTTTAAGATCAGCTGGGGAGGCCCTGCTCTTGATCCCACCATCATCACAAACGCGGCTGGTGGGGAAGAGGGACAGGGCCTTCTCAGTGGTGGCCCCTTGCCTATGGGACTCTCTTCCCAGTGACATTGGATTGGGCCCCTCTCTCCTGACCTTTAGGAAGAAACTCAAAACTTGGTTATGGGCTAAGCATTTGAACTGTAGAGGAAGCCATTGAGAATAAAACTCAAGTGATAGGAATGATAATGGACTGACCCGGGCTCTAATTTTAAACCTGCTTGATTTTAAACAAATGTTTTACGAGTACGTACAATCTCTACATACAAGTAGAGACTGAATTGCTGAATGAATTGGATGCATGATCTTTTGTACAAAAGGAAGAGCAGAGGATGTCACACTCCTCTTTCTGCACTGTACCATTTGGACTGCAGATGGCAACTCACATTTAGTAAATAAAGAAGTTAATTGCTCAGAAAATTTATTAGAAGATATAAGCAAGAAGGTATTTGGAATAGTCTGTCTCTTGACCAGCAGTGTGGATGGTGGCCATGCTGGCTGGATTATCCTAGGAGCTGACATACTTCGAAGTACCTTTTCATTGCTCTGCCTTTGACACCTACTACTGCTACTAATACTACTACTACTACTAAAACACACACACATTATTATTATTATTATTATTATTATTATTCTTTCTAATAATCAGATTAGAGGAGGAATTGCACATACTGTTTTTCAACTAACTCAGGATAATGTCCAGCTAAAAGCTGTGTTGTAGCCAGGTCAGATGAAGGACTTTTGGTACGAGTACTTATAAAACTTTTAGAGCACATAGCTACAGGTAAGTTTATGTATGTTCCTACATACAGGACTGTCATATCTTTGTTATTCACTGGTAAATCATTCACCAGCCCATGTTTTGCTGTATGTCTTTTATGAGGTTTGGTCAGGTAACTATGGCAATAAATGTTAATGAGGCAAAGGTGATCAGTTGCTATGTGAATGACGGTAGGGGAAAAGCACATTTCGTAATCGTGGAAAAGGGGAATTTTGCCTCCTTTGTGTTCAGTCTAAATCACCCTGATGGTACCAGATCCTGTCTGATCCTGGAGGGTAAGCAGGGTCATCCATGGCTAGCACTTGGATAGGGGACTGCCAACATATACTGCGTCTTTTAGACTAGATTTCAGAGGAGAACACCACTTTCAAATATTCAAATAGTTTTTTCGGGCTATATGGCCATGTTTATTTATTTATTTATTTATTTATTTACTCCTTTTGTATACCGCCTATATCAGCCAACAAGGCGACTCTAAGCGGTTTACAGTAAAAAAGTGCAACATTGAACAATGCATGTGACAGACATCCACAAACAATACACATAACGTCATCACGCCTCGAATAAAATCAGATCCAAATCTCATAGTCATTTTACCATTCCTTGTTCAGTATGCCGTCTTTCTGAGTCAGATGTTAATTGCATGCTTATCCGAACGCCAGTTCGAAGAGCCACATCTTCACCCGCCTTCTAAACGCCAGTAGCGACGGGGCCTGTCTGATCTCCGTTGGTAGGGCATTCCATAGCCGAGGGGCCACCACCGAGAAGGCCCTGTCTCTCGTCCCCGCCAGCCGCCTTGTGATGCTGGCAGGACCGAGAGCAGGCCTCCCCGGAAGATCTTAACGCTCTTCCCGGTTCATAGGAGGAGATGCGTTCGGAGAGGTAAGTGGGGCCGGAACCGTGTAGGGCTTTATAGGCTAAAGCCAGCACCTTGAATTGTGCTCGGTAGCAAATTGGCAGCCAGTGGCGCTGGCTCAACAGCGGAGTGGTGTGCTCCCTGAGTGCCGCTCCCGTTAGCAACCTGGCTGCCGAGCGCTGGACCATCTGAAGCTTCCGGGCAGTCTTCAAGGGCAACCCCACGTAGAGCGCGTTGCAGTAATCTATGCGGGATGTGACAAGAGCGTGGACTACCGTGGCCAAGTCCGACTTCCCAAGATACGGGCGCAGCTGGCGCACGAGCCGAAGCTGTGCAAATGCTCCTCTGGAGACCGCTGAAACTTGGGGTTCCAAGCTTAGCGAAGAATCCAGAGTCACACCCAAGCTGCGAACCTGTGTCTTCAGGGGGAGTGCGACCCCGTCCAACACAGGCTGTAACCCTATACCAGGGGTAGGGAACCTTTGGCCCTCCAGCTGTGGTGGACTTCAACTCCCACAATTCCTTGAGGTTCGGCATTGGGCCAAGGTAGACTCCAGAGTCACACCCAAGCTGCGAACCTGTGTCTTCAGGGGGAGTGCGACCCCGTCCAACACAGGCTGTAACCCTATACCCTGTTCGGCCTTCCGACTGACCAGGAGTACCTCTGTCTTGTCTGGATTGAGTTTCAATTTGTTCACCCTCATCCAGTCCGACACAGCGGCCAAGCACCGGTTCAGGACCTGGACAGCCTCCTTGGTAGTAGGTGGAAAGGAGTGACAGAGTTGGACGTCATCTGCGTACAGATAACACCGTACCCCGAAACTCCGGATGATCTCTCCCAGCGGCTTCATGTAGATGTTAAACAACATGGGGGACAGTATTGAACCCTGCGGGACCCCACAAGTCAATGGTTGTGAGGACGAGCAGGTGTCCCCCAGTAACACCTTCTGGGTACGATCCTCTAGGAAGGACCTGAGCCACTGTAAAACAGTGCCCCCCAGGCCCATTCCCACGAGGCGCCCCAGAAGGATACCGTGGTCGACGGTATCGAAGGCCGCTGAGAGATCCAGCAGAACCAACAGAGACACACTCCCCCTGTCAAGCTCACGCCGGAGATCATCGACCAAGGCGACCAAGGCTGTCTCGGTACCATGCCCCGGCCTAAAGCCAGACTGTGCCGGATCCAGATAATCCGTGTCTACCAAGAATGCCTGGAGTTGTGAGGCCACCACACGTTCCAGGACTTTGCCCAAAAAGGGGAGATTGGAAACAGGCCGATAGTTGACGAATTGAGTGGGGTCCAGTGATGGTTTTTTCAACAGCGGTTTTATAACAGCTTGTTTTAAGCTGGCTGGAATTATGCCTTCCCGAAGGGAGGCATTAACCACCACCTTTACCCACTCGGCCAATCCCCCCCTGGCCTCCTTTAGAAGCCAGGATGGGCAGGGGTCTAGGATGCATGTGGTTGCCCTCATCCCTCCCAACACCTTGTCCACATCCTCAGGTGTCACAAATTGAAACGAATCCAACAAACTCGGACAGACAGGTGCTCTCGTCACATCCTCAGAGACTGCCGTTAACATGGTGTCTAGACCTGAACGGATCAAAGCGACTTTGTCCACAAAGAACCGAGCAAATGCTTCACAGCGGGCTGTCGAGTTGCCAGGGCTCCCATCCACAATGGTGGGTTTTAATAGGCCTCTGACAACTCGAAACAGCTCCGCCGGACGGTTCTTTGCGGACGCAATATTGGCCGCAAAGAAGGATTTCTTTGCAGCTTTTATTGCCACGGCATATGCCCTTAATAGGGCAACAAACCGTGTTCGGTTTGACTCGCTCGGGTCCGAACGCCACACACACTCTAGTCTCCTCTTCTTTCGCTTCATTGCTGCCAGCTCCTCGGTAAACCAAGGGGCTGGTTTAGCTCGGCTACTCGAGAGGGGACGTTCCGGAGCGATCGTGTCTATAGCCCTGGTCATCTCCCTATTCCAGAGAGTCACCAAGGCCTCAACAGGATCACCAACCGAAGCGGCAGGAAACTCCCCAAGAGCCGTCAGGAATCCATCCGGATCCATAAGCCTCCTGGGGCGGACCATCTTAATGGGTCCCCCACCTCTGCAGAGGTTCGGTGGTGCAGTAAGTCTAAAGCTGATCAGATGGTGGTCGGTCCATGGCAACGGAGAGATAGATAACTCCTCAACCCCGCCACCTTGCTCCCATCCCTGACAGAAAACCAAATCTAATGTGTGTCCAGCACTGTGGGTGGGGCCAGTTACTTGTTGGGACAGCCCCATGGTTGCCATGGAAGACATGAAGTCCTGAGCCGCTCCCACTAAGGTTGTCTCGGCGTGTACATTGAAGTCCCCCAGCACAAGGAGCCGTTGGGACTCCAATGACAGCTCGAGACAACCCCTGCTAGTTCAGGTAGGGAGACTGTAGTGCAGCGAGGTGGGCGGTACACTAACAGAATCCCTATTCTGTCCCGGTCGCCCACCCTCAGGTAGACACATTCAAAATTAGTTGACTGTGGGATGGGGCCTCTGCTCAGCGAGATGGAATTTTTATAGACTACCGCCACCCTGCCTCCCCGCCCCCCGGGTCTCGACTGGTGCTGCACGGAGAAGCCTGGTGGGCAAAGCTGGGTTAAATTAACTCCTCCAGCTTCGTCCAACCAGGTCTCCATGATTCACGCCAGATCTGCCCGTTCATCCAAAATTAAATCTTGGATGAAAGATGTTTTACCGTTGACAGATCTGGCGTTCAACAGCACCATCTTCAACCCGGGGGGACTGCCAGCCTGGGTACATCCATTTACCTTGTCAGGAGACCAATTACATTTTATTAAATTTTTTTGGTTTCTTTTTTTTTTATTTCTATACCGAATTCGCGGTGGTATTTCTCTATCATTTTGGAGCCGAATTACTGGCCGAATTGGTGGTCTCCCTTTCCCGCATCTCCCCCTCCCCATTAAGGTTTCTATGGGGGCCCCTCGACCAATGGAATGCTCCTCCCCATCCATATTGCACCTTGATATTGCAACCTCATCCCTTGATTCCTTCCAGATTCCTCCGTTCCCTTCCCTATTTGCCAGCAGTGTTATTAGCAGATACCACAAAATAAGGGGAGACATGGGTGAACGCAGAGCAGTCGTAATGTACAGGTCATAAAGTGCTATTAATGACCTCTTAGATATACCAAGTCATTAGGGGGATTGAGGACCTATGGTATTGCAGAGGGTCAAAGTGCACAAGTATAAAGTGCACGAGGTTTTAAAGTGCGCAGATTTTAGTTTTTAAAGTGCTCAACTCTAAAGTGCAGTAATCGATGACTCACTAGCTAGTGCAATTAGATGGATAAGTGCAATAGGATGGGGGATTAACAACATGTTCTAGAGGCATTCTGATGTTTCGCCTGCATCTATGGCAAGCATCCTTAAAGGACCTCACTACCTCTGAGGATGCTTGCCATAGATGCAGGCGAAACATCAGGAGAGAATGCCTCTAGAACATGGCCATATAGCCGGAAAAAACTTACAGCAACCTAGTGATTCTGGCCATGAAAGCCTTCGACAATACAATATTCAAATAGTCACACATCCTGCAGTTTTATCCCATACCCCTCTTTTCATTACTGCAGCTGGCACTTATTTTATTCCTAATGTTTACAGCTCGGTCATGGTTACAGCAATTTACCGTTACGGTTAGAGAATCGCAGCTTGATTGAGTTTGAATTGATGATTTTATATGTGTATGTATTTTATATTGTGTTCACTTGTATGTTTGTTTTTACGCACCTTGTGCCATTTGTAAGCTGCCACAAGTCCCTTTGGGGAGATGGTGGTAGGATATAAGAAGTTGTTGTTGTTTTCTTTGTTGGAGTATGCAAGCAATCAGTGAGTGTGTGTGTGCCAACTGTAAAATAAGATGCATGAAACTGATTGGTCAGGCAATTCACGGGTTGATGGCTGAGCCTGGAACTTTTGGATACTGTTGCATTTTTGTTCAGGTGCAAGCTATGCATGTGTAGAGAGATGAAGAGAGAAGCACACACACACACACACACACACACACACACAGAGAAACTGGTTTGTTTCTTGGCTGCTGAAATGATCGTATCTCATATGGACACAGAAAGGACCATTTTAAACTTCTCAGGAAAGGACATTTAGTGAGTTGATGCAACTGATCATACTGTACATATGTTGTTCTGAACTAAGAAGAGTAAACTACTTGTTCTTTATTGTTCATCTGTGTGGTATATTTTCTTTCCCTGGCAAGGCAGTGTGTGGGCTGATCCAACGTGAACTACACATGGTTTATTTTATATTACGCCACATTCTTTGCCTAAGAAAACTATGAAAAAATCATGATGTCACCATAAATTAACAGGTGACTTAAAGACACATGCACACACACATTTGTAGCAAATAAAAGAAACATAGGAAGCTAACATTGATTTAGACTAGCTCAGTATAGGCAATTCTAATGGGCATAAATGCCTCTCCATTGTTTCAGGCAACCATTTTCTTTAATTTTTTTCATTTTCCTTTCTTCCCATTCCTAGAAATTCTTAGTGTTCTCTTGAGGTCCTAGGTGTTCCCTGGAAATCCAGTCAAAACCAGGCCAAACCCTTCTTAGCTTCAGATGGGATTAGGTATGTTGAAGGTGGCTAGGTTAAGGATAATGTTTCACAAATAACAGGTATGAATTTGGATGTTTGCCCTCCTATTATAACTACATGTTGATATATTTCCTCTGATATGATTTCTCTGATTCTTAGTCATTTGAGTCGAAATAGTCATTTCACAAACTCTGCTTACCTCTGTAGGTCTGGAACACTCATGAAGTATTCCCTAAAAGAGAAAGGAAAATCTTTTAATGCTTTTATTCTTCATTTTATTTTTCATTGTGTTTCATTAAGAGTCAGTTGCCATGTATTGTTGAAGGCTTTCATGGCCAGAATCACTGAGTTGTTGTAGGTTTTTTCGGGCTATATGGCCATTTTCTAGAGGCAGTCTCTCCTTACGTTTCGCCTGCATCTATGGTAAGTATCCTCAGAGGTTGTGAGGTCTGACCAAAAAAACCTACAACAACCCAGTCAGTTACCAGTCTGCTTGGCTTCTGGACACAATCTTGTATTTCGCCTCTGACTGCCAAATGGGTCAGCTCTGCTCCCAGGCTTGATGGACTAATGCCATATTCAGAACTCTGCATCGCCAAACCACCTTACACTCCATTTGAAATGCAATGCCAAATACCTTAACTGTCTGGTGGAACCACTTTCAAAATGGGTCTAATATTTACCCTCTCTCACAGCATTTGGATAAGTTATGATGAAAACCTGTCAAAACAGCTTGTGGGTGAGGTGGGGTTTAGCTATAGATGTCTTGCTTATTTGCATGATCTGGACAGGCACATTTATCCTGCAAAAAAATGTCCTCCAAATGCCCCCTCCCCCCCCAATCCAACCTGTAATTTTGATTTCTGCTCCTCGTTTGAGATGTCAAGAAGATCTTCAATGTCAATCTCTGGTTCAGGGGCTGCTGTTGCATCTGTCTCCTCCTCTTCCTCCTACAATTAGAACACAGTAAGCCATAGTGATTTGAGTGTTGGATAACGACTCTTGAGACCAGGTCTTGAATCTTCCCTTAGCCATTAAAACCCATTGGGTGACCCTGAGTAAGTCACACAATCTCAGCCCCAGAAAACCTTGTGATAGGTCCTCCTTAGGGCTGCCATATGTCAGAAAGACTTGAAGACATACAAAGACTATCCATTCTCAAATTACAGAGCCACACCTTGATTTTTGGTGCATAGTAGTGGTGTGGTGGGCAGCAAATGTGGCCCTTTGGATGTTGTTGAACCACAGGTCCCGTACATAATGGGGTTAGAGATTTAAGGGCCTGCCCCCCTTTTCCATTTCTCAGGACAAAGAGGAAGAACACTGGAGTGAAAGAAGCATCTTGGAAAAAGTGTGTAAATACTGTATATACTCAAGTATAAGCCAAGTTTTTCAGCCCTTTTTAAAGGCTGAAATAGTCTCCCTTGGCTTATACTCAAGTCAAGGTTATTTATTATTTTACTCTGTTGTTGTTATTATTATTACATTTATTATTTTACCCTATTTATTATTGTTATTATTACATTTATTATTGTACTCTTATTATTGTTATTGTTACATTTACATTATTGTACTCTATTATTATTACATGTATTATTTTACTACATTATTACTGTTATTATTACATTTTAAATTATTTTACTCTATTGCTTTTATTTTTATTACATTTATTATTTTACTCTATTATTATTGGAAGGATACAAAAACACATTTACATTGAAGAAGGTTAGAATAATGGTTTAATCAGACTTGGACAGTCTTATTTTAAATTACAATTTTATGTAAATATTCAAAAACATTTGACCTATAGATGCCTCAGTTAATGTAATTTTATTGGTATCTATTTTTATTTTTGAAATTTACCAGTAGTGGCTGCATTTCCCACCCTTGGCTTATACTTGAGTCAATACATTTTCCCAGTTTTTTGTGGTAAAATTAGATGCTTCGGCTTATATTTGGGTTGTCTTATACTTGAGTATATATGCTTAAATTGTCATGCTTAATGACATCACCATGGGCAACCTTCAGTGATAACACAAGCTATCTCAAGTTTTGGTCCTAAAATCTACCCTGGCAAAATTCAAAGGCCTGGATAACTTAAACCTACCATGTGTTCTTGATATCGAGCTCTTTTTGGGGGCCCCTCCAGAGAGGAGAGCCCTAGGACTACACCAAAGAGAGTCCTGGATACCTTGGTGAGATTTTTCCGGAAGCCAATCCAAGAGCGCAGGAATATTTTTAATATGAAATCAGCTCACCAGAGGCGGAAGAAGTCCAGCGATCGAGGTTTATTTGCAATTCAGCTGAGTTGGATGCAACTGTAGGGATAGTTCCTCTACAAGCATACAGATACAAAGATTTCAGGCATTTTTATACAGTACAGGACAAAAGAAAGCAGTTTGAAACTCCCGCCGCCCCTTGCCGGCCGGCTTGACGCTGATTGGCTGAGGCTGGAACAGCTGGGAGGAGGCTTGGCGGCCCGCCTCGGTTTTCAGCCAATCAGAACGTTCCCGCGCCTCGGGAGGGCCAATGGGCGCCCTCCGCTCGCTTCTGAGCCTGGGCCAATCAGGAGCGAGGAGGGCGGGACGGCCGCAGACAAAGGGGAAAGATGATGGGATTTGGATTTCCTGCCCGCTGGAATGCGGGCTTTGTCTTGGGCGGGAAAAGGGTGATATTTGGTAAACAAAGAGCTTTCCTGTCCTTGATGGGTCTGGCGAGTGATTTGAATGGGCTAGATCGATATCGGACCACCCGGAGGGTCAACAATATCTGGGTGAATTAATCAGTCTCTTTTTCCGAGGCTCTGCTGACCCCCCTTCCCTCGCTGGCCTTGCTCCGAGGGCTAGGGTTGGGGATCAGCAGCATTGTCCGTGCTGATGAGTCAATCAATGGGTGATTGAGGAAGAGGCTGGGGCTCTTTCCTCAGGCAGTTCCTGGTCACGCCGGTTTTTGTGGGGCAGAGGTCAAGGGGGGTGATGGCACAGAGGAATTCATAAGGGTTACATACATATCATAATCATAAGGCATAGGCATCTCTTACAGGCATTTCATATTTTTACAACTCACAATCCATCCCAACCCCAGTTCATTACAGTAAGAAAATATTTTATTTATTTCATAAAAAGAAAGGAAAAACTAGAAATCCCAAAGTCCGGGCGAAGAAGCTTGGAGGTGGAGGTCAGCCCATGGTCCGGGCTGGCCAACAGAAGATCGATTCTTCCTTGAAGCAGGAGCTGGAGCTGAAGGGGGAGTTGGGTTCCACTGCTCTGTCCTTCGTGAAACTAGCGCTCCCAACCGAGGATCGGGCCTCCCTGCCTGATCCTCCTCTCCCAAGGCTCCCCCTTGGGCAGCGGTGGTGGGTCCCTGGCGGCGGGGACCATGCAGGAGCAAGCAGCAGCGAGCGGAATGCAGCGGTCCGGAAAAGCCGGCGAAAATTTGACAATCAGCTGTTGACTCGGCCAGATTTAATATTTAAACAAAAACAATTATTTCCCGGGTGCAGGAGTCCAAAATGAGAAAACCAAGATGGCAGTTAGTCTTAGAATTTAATGCAGAAAAATATGAAATTTAAACGGGGCCGATCCACCATGTTGTTGTTTTGGCGGATAAGGGGGCCCATTAGGAAAACCTCCGTATCCACGGTTTTAACTAACGCAGATTTGGGGGCCCGGGGAGGCCGGGAAGGCATCCCCGGTGAGCTCACGGTTCCCCGGAGCTCAGAAAAAGGTTTATTTTATGTTAGAAAAGTTTCAGACAGTAAAGGACACAAAGTATCAAGCGGAAAGGATTTAAAGTTTCAAAACTTAAGTGTTTTATTAGGGGCTTTGTTACAAAGAGGGAGAGAGGGGAAAGTGAAAGAAAGGCTTCTTGCAGCCTTGAGTTTAGCTTGAGCTGCTCGCTGGGGCACATTTCATCAGTCAGGCCCAACTTGGCTCTCCGGAACTGCGGAACTCCCTGCTGCGGTTCAGACCAGCTTGAAGGCGGGAGATCCTGCCGCCTGGGGGGATATCATTTCCCCACTCGGAAACTGAAAGAGGCGGGGCCTCTGTAATGTTTCCGCCCAAGCGTTATATCCAACCAGCGGCAGCGGGGCCATCTGGCGAGATGGATTGGAACGCTTCCCTTTTTGACAAATTTGGAACAGAGTGGGAATGTGAGACCAGCAGCAGCTCAAAATCAAGAGGAGGACTATGAGACCCAAGAAAACTAGAAAGCCTTTTCGGAGCCAATCTAGAGAAGGGAGCCAGTCTGTCAAAAAACTGAGGTCAAAGCCAATGGTTTCCTTGATGCCAGCTGCCAAATCATTCATTCCCTCTATGGCCTTGCGGACTACAGGGGTCTGGTCAGTCAGATTGAAACAGCACATGTGGCGCACACTCTCACAGCCATAATGATTCTTCAGCAACAAAAAATCTATGGCAGCACGATTGTCCAGCACAGCTTCCCTCAGCTCATGCATCTCAGTGGCTATGGAAGCCAAGGCTTGAGAGGTGAAATTGATGTTTTTGACCAGAGCACAGGCCAGGTGTTTAATGGCCCTGTAGTTCATGCCAGCTGCCACCCCAGGGGTGAACAGGGCAGTTGCTACAAATTGAGGAATGCCCTTGATGACCACAGAGGGATCACAATTTGGGTCCAAGTTTTGGATGGACCTAGCCTCCCTGGCCAGGGAATGTGCCAGTTCCAGGTCACTTTTGGAAGGCATGAAAACCGACAGCCTACCCAAGGCACAATTCCCTATGGAGGAATTGGCTGGGAGGTAACTATAGGCTGTCTGCCCACATAGGAAAAACCATCCTGGGGGCAAGACCAAATGGGCATTCATGTGAGGCAAGGTCTCTATGGAAGAGCAATTTAGAGAATTGTCCTGAGTCAATTTTTGGCACTTCCCCACACACTTGGGAACTTTGAAGCAGTGGGGGGCATGGGGGCTATGTGCCAATTTGATAGCCAGCATACCTGGTTCCCTTTCCCTGGAAGCCCTGCCCCATACAGATAAATCTCTATAGGACATAGACTTGGAAGGGATATGCTGAAAAATGGTATAATTTCAAAAAGTTTCCAGAGGTTCTGGAATTCCAATCAGGCATGTTGAGAACAAATCTGTGGCGGTCACCCCACTTGACAGACAGAAATCAGAAACATTAAGAACCCTAGATGCCAATTGTTGCCAAAAGTTGGCCTTCGTGGACACCCAATCATAAAGGACAGGACCAGTGGCCCTGCATTGAGATAGAGAAAGCAAGCAAAGAATTAAAGAAAAATACATGCTGAAATTTTTGGACAGCGACACCCGAGGGAAATAGGGATTAAATAGGCTTACCGCTAGATGGTGCTGGAGCGGACAGCTCCCTCGCTCTGTCGGCTTGTAGCGAAAAGTGAAACTGGGATGTACTGAAGCGAGAGCGCGCCTGTCAGAATCAGCTGGTGCGGCCTTTTGACAGCTGTCAGCGAACCCGGAAGTGATGGAAAAATGGTTTCCCGTGGTGCTAGGAACACGAAATTTGGTGGAGGTCTCCAGGAAGGTCTTTTCGTCCCCGTGCACGGTGTTTTCTCCGCCTAGAGGCTCCAGAAGAGGGTGGGTCGGCCGGATCGCCCGGAGGGGGATCTCTTGAAGGAACCTTCCGAAACAAAAGCCGCAGATCCTCCACCGGCTCTACGGCCCACTGCTCGCCAGTCTCTTCTTCCTCCTCCGGCCCCACTTCTGGCTCTGGAGCCAATTTCAGCCGGGAATGATGAATCCAGGCACGGATGCCTTTGACTTTTGCAGCAGTGTGGGTAGTGAGGAGGATCTGGTGAGGTCCGACCCACCTCTCCGTCAACGCCTCAGGCCGGTAGGTTCGCACGAGAACCCAATCCCCAATGGAGAAGTTGTGAACAGGTGCATCCAGAGGGATAGGAAGGCGGGAAAGCAGATACCTATTTAGAGAAGAAAGGATAGAAGTAAGAA